ATTATGGATTGAATTTTAGTCCTTTTTGTTAAAGGTTATTAATTCTTACTGATGATGTTTTTTTTTTTTTTTGAAACATGAGTTTGATCTAAACTGTCTAGGTCTAACTATTGATTGTGATGGATATAAGCACTATAGTTGTTGAATATATAAAAAAATTTATTTTTTGACACCCTTTAATTATATTTTTGTTATTTATTTTTTTCGTATTTTATTTGATAAATTTTATTTGTATTTTAATGTCAATACTTGTTTTTTCTTTCGGAAATATCGGCAAGAGATTTGAATTATTTGATTGATAACTCATGTTTTAGAAGTTATATTGTATTCTTTTTTTTTTGTTTCTTAAACTGAATTTGAATTTAAGACTACATTTTGATTACCAATTACTTTTTGGATGTGGTTATCGATCAGTTTTTGTTAATTTTATCAACTTAATGACCGAGAAAGAAAAAATTCATGAAAGCCAATTCTTCTTTTATTTTTTTGTCTTATCTAGTCTTTATTTGATTAGACATGAGAAAAAAAATCATAAATGAATTATCATATTGTATTTATGCATTTTTATTTGTTCTTTGACCCGATTACCTATTTAGCCAATTACTTGTTTTAGTTCAAATGACATTACTTTATTTATTGATTTTACAAATATCATTATGTTTTTTGTATGACTTGTTTGCAAGGAAAACTTTTACAATTGTTTTATCATGGTATCACTTCTAAAATTTTAAGGTCACATATACAGTTTATAAAGATCAACAAAATACACATATCGTCGATTACTCACATATATTTTATACAATGTATTTTTTTTTTGTCTTTTGATTCCTACTTTCCTAACATCCAAGATTCATGCAGTGAATAATTATTGTATTCAAATTCGATGAATCTAAAACCTAAAACGGTATATAAGCAAAAAAAAAAAAAATTAGAAAATTTCAGTATTTGTACAATGATATTATATTCATTATCAACCATAATTCTGTTTTTTCTTGTCAACCATAATGCAAGATAAACATTACAAAAATTTAATTCAAAATAATAGGCATGTTTTGATAAACACATTGGTTGGTCTCTCGATCTATATACAATAGAATCTCAATAATTTCTTATTTTCAAATATAGTTACTATAAGATAAAAATATTTAATTTTCTTGTATAGATATTAATTATTATTTTTGAAATTTGACATTTATATAATTTTTTTTATATTATATTATTTAGTGTATATAATTTATATTGCATACAATTTAAATGTGTGTTTAGATATAATATTTCTAAATATCATCACAAATATATTAAATGTTAAGAAAATATAACAGTAATTTCATTGTGAATAGAAAACAAACAATATATTTATAGATTCTTACTTATATAAGATATGTATACATATAAATAAATATAAATTTTGATTTATTTTATGATCTTAGTAAATAGAATATGTTCAAAATTATGAGAATGAAAATATATTGAAACATAATGATATTTTTTTCCGATCCGTTTGATCGTTATTAGCGGCTATAAAATATTACTTTGTTTGAAGTTGCTTGAAAGTGGAATATCATAAGCGGTTTTGAGATTCAATAAAAATAGAATAAAAGTATAACAAAGCTAATTTAGTTGAAATTTAAATATAAAGTAAATTTGATGTTTTAATTAGAGAACATACTTCAAGTACCATGTGGACAGTATATAAAACGAACAGCATTTGAAATTTTATTTTATTTAAATACCAAATAGTACTCACGGGCAACTAAACAAATGAGCAAATAAAATATCTATACTATTAAAGCAGGATCCTATTGTTAAAATTTTGGATTATACCCCTAGATTTTTATCACATTTATAAGATAATACCACTATTTATTTTTAGAATCTTAATTAATTAAACGATTTAATATCTTTTATATTTATAATAACTGATAATATTTCTTTTTTTGTGATTAATAATAATTTTCCTTTTATGAAAATTATGATTTTCTATTTAATTTTAATATCATATTTCCGTGCATCATATTATTTAGCGATCAAAAATTATTATTTAATGTTTCATTTTATCCACAATAATGATATGTCAATTCAATTTGTTTTAAAAACTAAATTTTAGATATAAAATGAGTAAAAATGTAAACTTATCATAGGTTATTAATAACGAAAAGAAACTAATATTGTTATATGAATAAATTGTGTTTTTTTTCTATTGCCATTGTTTCATTTTTTCAAATGACAAGAAAATTTTTATTAAAGAAATTACAAAAAATCAATTTTCTTTAATATTAAAAATATGAATTATTTAACAAATTTTTAAAAATATATTATCAGTTTTTCTGGGGTTATTTAACGGATCAACGGATATCATAATACAGATTAATAGCGGGTTTTAAGTTATATATATCGGGTTGGCTTAAATTTTTAATTAGTAAATTTTAATTAAATATTAAATAGATTATATAAAAATATCCGGATGTATCGGTTCAACTATGGATCTGGGTCGGATATGGAAACATTACGTGAAAATCAAACATTATAATAGAACTTTTTAAAATATTAATAAAACAATTTTAAAATTTTTGTGTTTGAATAATTAATTTAAAGAAATTTTATCAAAATGGTAAAAATATACCCGCGCTTTTAAAGCGCGGGGCAAAATCTAGTATCTTATTAAAACAGAAGCATTACAACTTCTTCTAGGTAGATTTTAAGTTGAACCTCATATTATTAATCTATAGTATAATAACGATATAATATTATTGTTAGTCTAATCTAATTTTTACGCAATTAATTATATTTCGCTATTTGTTAGGAAGTTAGTGGTGATTCAGTATCTTATAATTATTTGGAATATAATTATAATCACCTTCTTTTTCTTTACGAAAATCCTCAGTATATTCTTATTCTTTTTAAGCAGAAGATCTCGATTACATTTAAAGCTCTTGATTTGGTATTAATTATAAAGTACGATTAGATTGATATATATAATCCTTTATGGAATTATCCATTCTCCAAGTCAACTTACTTTGTCTAAAATCTCGCTTAGATACTAAATCTCTTGATTTGATATTAATTATAGACTATTAATTGGTTTTCTGAATTGTTGGAGAGTATATTTGTTTTGACACCCTACCTAAAATATGAGGCGTATATATAGTTTTTCTCATATTCATCATTCGACATTCACTATCACCTCCAATAAAATATGAAAAACCCAAACACTTTTGTATTCCTTAACGGTGTTAAACCTTACAGAGATAATTGACAAATTCGCATTAAGGTCTTTCATTGTTGGAAACAAAACACCATGATTGGAGGCGACACATTAGAGTTGGTCCTCGCTGATGAAAATGTAAGTTACATAAGTTTGATTTTTTAAAAAAATCATTTTCTAATCAATATCTTATTCAACTTTTTTTGTTTTTGTTTGTAGGTTGTAAAGATTACAACATTTTTTAAAAGAAATCAAACTTCTGTAAATTACAAGTTATGATTTGATCATCTTTGTTTTCTGTAGTTATTTCCTGTAACTAAACAATTGTCTTCTTTTTTTTTTTTGGACGAACTAATCATTTATCTTTTCTATAAATCTCAGATAAATTCATTTTCTTCACATTCATATTTATTTTCTAGGTTAGATCTAATCATAATCATTTTAATGTCACAGATTTATTTCATTGGAATAACTATGGAAAAATAGTCGCTACAAGAATCTAAACTATTTGATATCAACCTTCAAACACTAGATTGATTAGTAAGTGTTCGTGACTTTTATTTTCAATTTAATAGTAGTATGACATAAACAACAAATAAACAAGAACCAATGTTTATTTGTTAAATATTTATATTTTTATCGAATATATATTTTACATTTAAATATTTGTTATAGAACATGTCATTCAAAAATTTGTTGCAAAATCAACTGATAAGATATCTTCTCTCATAATTTCATGTATTTAATATTTAATTTTTATAGTGAAATCTGTCAACCAAAATTATGGTACAATCGAGTCAGGAAATACTCTCCTTTATCTTTACCAAAAAAATATTCCAAAAATAATCTTACCTTATAAGTATAATATTTTTGAAAATTTATTAAAAAATATTTTATTTCAAACTTCCTCGTGAAAGCTATGTCGTTTAGAAACGTTTACCAATTAACTATATATAAGACATTAACAGCAGAGAAAGTAAGTCACTAGATTTTTATGATGTTATTTTTTGCTGCTTTGGATTTAGTAAATTTATTTTATTTTAGAATGTTAAGACTTTATATATATACACATAATGTTTTGTTTTCTGATTCGGATTTTGGTTTATGTGCAAATGATCTTAAATTAACTTACTCTTGACTTTCAATATTCTAGTTAGTTTATTCCTAAAATGTTCATGAAAATATAATTATTTTATTTTTTTCTTAATATTCTTTGACTTTGACTTCGATAATAAATAAAATTAATTTTAAAAAATTTTCTTTGATTATATTCAGTATGGAAAACATGGATTTATTTTTGTATATTTCTGTTTTGCATTTAGTTGTACTCTTTTGTGATACATTTTCTCTTAAAATTACTAATATAAAAGATATGAAGCATTGATTAAATAAAAAATCACATGAAATTAGATATGTTTCATGAAAATTTAATGTTAATTGTTACTACTTTTAATTATAAATATTTGCTTGAATCTTGAATATGTCATTAAACAGCAATATTGAGATTTCAGCTTCAAAAACTAAAATAAATAAATAAATAAATGGTGGGATTCACTTGTAACCTTGGGCTACATATAGTTAGAATATATCCATTTACAGATGTTAGGTTAAATCCTTTTTTTGGATTTAGGTTAAATCTATTTCTTAAATATGTAAACGGCTAACTAGATAGAAATGATCAGTAAGCCCATCAATCGTTATGGATGAATTCCAGATAAGTAGGCTAATTTGATTAGTGTGTTCATTATTAAATTTTTAAATTTTCTGTACCAAAGAGAATCTCTGATTAATTGGGCTAGCATTTATCTGAGAGAAAGAAACACAACAGAACCATTTTCATTTTGACTTCAACCATTTACTTGGAGTTAAGGCAAAAGATAGTTTAGGGCGTGATTTGTTTTTACCCAACAGTTTCTGTTTTAGACGTTCTTCTTCCTCTTCTGCTTTCTTCTTTCGCATCGCTTCTTCCTTCTGTCTTTGCCGCTCCTCCAGCTCCTGATAACGTTCCTCCTCTTTCCTTTGTCTTTCCATAGCTTCTTTTAGCTGAGCTTCTTCTACTTACATCATGTTCTCCTCTTCTATTCTCGACATCTCTTCTCTCCCTTGTTGCTCTCTTTCCTGTGACAAACACCGCATCACACCCTGGAAAAAAATTCCTTTTTAAATCAACAGTTTTCCATGATAGGCAAGAGCAAGGTTCCTTTCGAATGATGAACTATCTATCACTGTGTGATAAGTTAAGTATAAGAGAAGACATTTACCTCTTTTTCTTTGGCCTCGATAAGAGAAGCTGCCTTCTCCTTCTCAAGTTGAGCTGCGACTTCTTTGTTAAGTCTCTTTCGCCCTTCCTCCAACTGTGTTAGAATTTTCATTTTAATTTTCTCAGACTGTAAGTTTTCTTCAACTTTTTTTTCTAATAGTTTCTTCCACCCATTTCAAAGTTTTTTCCTCTATTTTTTTCTCCTGCAGCTCTAGGGATTGTTTCCTTACAGATTCTACCATCAACTCCATCATCTCTTTGTATTCTTTCCACTGAAGCGAGAAGTCTAGAATCCCAGAAGCAGTCTCTATCACCTGAGTCATCTGACTCAAGAACTGGTCTACTAAATACTTATCCAACATCACACTAATTTCAGTCCCATCAAACAAAAGCAATAAGCAACTAAGAAATCAAGAGAGACCAAACACTATGACCCTAAGAGTAAGAGACTGATGTTCATGATCTTCAATTGGCAAGAGGACTGGATCCTGCTCCGGTGTTACTCTGGCAGTGACGACTCCGGTTCCATGGTGATCTTGATAATAACGTTCTCAGTTAAAATGAAGCAAAAAAAAAAAAATCAAAACTTTAAAAATGTGACTAAGGAAGAAGAAGAAGAAGCAATAAGGCCTGATGGAAACTTTAATGTGATCAACAAAACTAATTCAAGTTAAAAACGCTGGAATAGTTTAAAACTACAATGATCATGAGTTTAAAGAACATATGAACTTTGCATCAAGAAGACACCAATAAACTCGCCACAGTCATGTTCCTCGCCTCCCAGAACCTGAGAACTCATACCTCAACGGTGAAAGAACAGTGGTGGGCATTCAGATTAGCAAGAGGAACAAATTAGTTAGCCATTAGATTGCAATTAACTTTTCGGATTATCAGGAACTGTGAGGATGGTTTTCAAGGATGAAGGGTTACCTTGATATAAGAGGAAAAACACCGCCTTTAGCATTGAATGAATGCCATATCCTGCTTGATGTGCGTCGATGGAGTAAAGAAGCTTTGATGAATCTAGACATATCATAACGTCTTGCAGGATAAGAACCAAAAATGAATCATTGTCTCCAATCTTGACTCTGAGATTCATCACGACGTTTCGTCTCAATCGTCATCCCCGAACTCCTTTGGTACCAGATGTCGAAGAAGAGGAACCACGACTCTGGTTTGGGCTCTAATTCGCCTTTCATTTTGTTAAATGAAACAGTGAATTTTGATGCATTGGACATATGTCGCACTGTGAGAGCATGAATTAGTGACATCATATGATGAGGTATATTGAGGAGAAGAGAATCTTCTTCTTCTTTATAGTATAAGATATATAGTGATTTAATTGAACAATAAAAAAGAATGGGGGCACACTTTAAAAAATTAGTGCCTGGAAATAATTAATTATGAAATTACATTATTTATAAAAATAATCCTGATTGACTGGCTGGCATTTGTTTATTTGAGAACTTCTTTCCTGACTTATGCGCGACTAATTTATAAGTTTTTGCATAGCTAACAATCCTAGATGTTTTAATGGCTGCCGATGTCTTCGCTACAATCCAGGGTGTGTTATTTTCTCATATAAATCAGACATATTCAGATAATATTGGTCTTCGGAATGATTCTATCCCGAATCAGAATTTGATCTAATAAATGGTAGTTGACAAAAGAAAAATACAGAAACTTGATAATTGTTCTCTATCAATCATCTGTAAGATATTTGAAATAGGTAATGCTGAGGCAATTCTAAGCCAACGTATACGACCAAACAATGTTTCAAAACTTAAATTATGTATTTGAGTGGGTGAAAAAATTAGTTATTGGATGGAATGAGTAGTTGAACTAAAACTCATTGAATGGACTTTCTAAACCTTTTAAAATATTAATATCTTGAACAAAGACATTTTACGTGCAGTCCTTATCGGCTAGTAATATTACATAACATTTTTGTATTTTCTATTTCTTTATTGACTTAGAGTATTCCAAATTTATAAAAAGGTTCATGCTAGTTCTCTAAAGAGTACAGTTCACGGATATACTCTCTTCAAATATTTAAAAGAAGTCCAAAGCATAACTCTTTATACGTGTAGTCACACAAGGTTAGTTCATTGACTTGCTCTGAATCCGGGTCGTTTGGCTCAACGGAATTTACTTACCACTGAACCCCCCTCCCTGGGTGTGGTTTTCCCTTTTTGTTAATATACAAAAATATAAAATTCTCCAATAATTGATCAAGAATGTATTGTTGCTATTTTTATAATACTACTACCAGTCTACCACTACTCTTTCATGTGTCCTCCCGTTGTTTTTATATATTTTGCTTGAATATCATTCCAGTCTCCAACAAAAGAGCGCTTCTTTCCTTCTTCTTCTTCAGCATTTTCTGTAAGTGCAAAGATGACACCACAATAAGGTAGTACAGAAGGTAAACCAAGAGACAAAACACCAATAGCTTTATTCAAATCTTCTTTAAACAATCTTTACAAGACCTTGTTTATTCAGCTTTACACGTCTAGTGTTAACACCATAACACACGTCACTGAAAGATTCCTAAGCTACTCACTTATGTCTCTCTTCCGTCAAGTACTTCAGCCTCTGCTTCAGCACGACCCAAGAACACCTTAAGAGCTTCTCTCTCTCTCTATAAGATTAGCCTCCGTGTCTCTGACTCTCTGCAGACGACCCCATAACTCTCTTATAGTTATTCTTCACGTTTTTGAAACCCTAGTCTCCAAGGAACACAATATGGACATCTTCCATAACATTAAGTGCAACTTTCCTTTTCTTGGAATGCACTTATTCCTCTTTCCTTTAAGTCATAAACTTGCTCCTCAAGTTTATTCCTCTTGCCTTTTCTCCAAGCTACACTCTTGCTCTCCAAGTCTACACGACTCCAGCTCAGCATCTTGACTCCACATGGTCTTCACCATTCAACACGACGTCTGCCTCAGCAACTACGTTAGCGACTACTTCAGAGCGGACATATTACATCTTCAATCTCCCCCTTTTAGCTTTGTGTGCCAATCAAGCACAACATCCTTCTGGTTCAACAACCACGTTCCTCACTTGGAACTTTCCATACCAAATGTGATTTTCTCCCCCACGAGATGTGCACCACACCATGCTTTTCTCCCCCATGAGATAAGCACCATCTACTTCAGGACGTCCATCACCATGCTCTTCTCCCCCATGAAATATGCACTCCTTGGACTAGAACGTCACCACTTCTCCCCCTGCTTGATTGCATACTAAGCTAAAACACAGATGCTTAGATGTCAAGCCTTCCACCACAGTAATCATGATACAGCCCCTGCTGCAGCGGAATAGATTACAAGTACTGCATCACGATCTGACGCACATGTCGAACTACCTTTCGACCCACTTCTGTTGAGGACTTGGCTTCCTTCATGCGTCGTCTCCTTGGCCATGAGCCCTTCCTCATCCACCCCGAGTGCTCTCTGCACTCGTCGCTATTGTCTTGGAGTGATTTCGCTATCACCCTCCTGAAGATCTTCTCGCATCACTTCCTGACGCACTTCGATCTCCTTCCCTTTTGAACCACAAACAGCTCCATGTCCTGGCTCCACACTTGATGCTTCTTGATCAACCTCAAGATCACTCTCACTAGAGCTGCACCCTTCTTCTGATTTCCCTTCCTTGACCTCATCAAGTAAGCCACTCTTGGCTAAGAACACATCTTCAACCCTCTTGGGTTTGATGAACGTCTTGTTCACCTTCTTCACCATGTTTCTGCTCTTCTCACGAGCAAAACACTCCACCTTCTTGTGTCCAACCTTCCCACAGAACCAGCAGCACATCCGATGTTGCTTCTTCTTGGGCCTGACACAGTTACTGATGCACCGATCAGTCTCCTTCCTTGTACCAGATGCACAACCATGCTTCAGAACCTCCTGTCTGACCTTCATGTTGCTGCACTGATGTACTCCTTTCGGCTTGTTATTCACAGCCACGCGCTGTAGAACTTCCTGCCGTACTCCTTGTCGTACGTCCCGACGTACTTCCTGACGAACATCTTTGGCTTCACTTTTTGAAGTGCTCCCTTGTACGAACTGTGACCGCCCTTTCTGCTGTACGCCAGTACTCTCACCTCCTCGGTATCCCAGTCCCCAATTTGCCTTGGCTGGTTGTCCCATTGAGAGTATCTTATCCAACTCCTTGGATCCACTATTGAGCATTCTGATCTGTTTGTGATTCTCAGCCAAATCACGTTCCAGCTTCCTTGCTCTCTCTTGTTCACCAGTAGCAACTCTTATCAGTTTGCTAACTTCCTCTTCAAGAGACTCATTCTTCTCTTCTACAGCCGCAAGTTCCTCACGAAGTTCTTCAAGCAACTCGTTTTGCTTCTGAGCCACATTCTCCAATCTCAGATTCTGATCCTTGACCCTCAACCACTTGTTGAGCAGCACATGATACTCCTCATCATCTGTACTGCGATCTGAATCAGTGGATTC